CTGCTGTCAAAATTTCACGTCCCCCCGATCACCGGTTGATTTATGGCGAATTTTCTCGCTGGACAGCGCAGAAAATCCGAGAGCAGTTTTCCAGAATTGCCTTCTCGCATCTTCGATTCTTCGATCTTCCTCCTCTTGGATTTCACCTCGTATACTTCGATCTACTAAATACGTGGCACTAGACACGTAATAGTTAGAAAAACGGAAGAAAAGAAAGAAGGAAAAAGAATACCGAAAGGGATCGGCCAACGGATGGCCGATTCCGGCGACGACGGCGCGGTGGCCGAGGGGAGATGGCCGAGCGTGAGAGAGGGAGCGGCTAGGGTTTTTGGACGTGTTGTCTCTTATTTGTGTGTGTGCAAGACCTATAAATCAAGTATTTATATGTCTTGCATAAAACCCTACAGGCTTAAGTTGGACCGGGCCCAACAGCTTAAGCTCGTTAGTTCTTTTACTCGCTCGTCTCTCTCAATTCAATGATCGGAAAATTGCAACAATTACATTTTCGGAATCATTATAATATCCTCGTCATTACGAGTGTCAACTCTCATTTTCCAACTTTCCAAAAGTGGAAACCCTAGTTCAGTGCACTTTCTAAATTTGGAAACTTCCCGATTTAGAAAGTTCACTAACACGTTCGCCTATTCTTTTCCTTTTCTTATTCTCATTCATAATTCCAAATTACGAATGTTGGACTCAATCATATTGACTTCCAATCATGCAAAGATAAACTATTTTATCTCTGACCGTTTATTCAAAGATCTCATGTGCACGAGCAGTGTGACCCTCGATGGTTCAGGTGTAAGCTAGCCGTGGGCCCACAACCCTTTGTGGTCAAAACTCGTCCCCTTAGAGTTACGATTAAGATGAAACTCGTTTCACCTTAATCACCCAACGAATCAAGATTGGCGTCTAGCAACTACGCGTCATGATTCCCTAGATACAAATGAAGTGCCTGCAAGAACCTTCAGATATAGTTAACGTACAGTACGGTCCCTTCGATACATATGTCCTGATCGAACTAGAGGCATTGGTTCATCGAGACCTCTTTATATGTTCGATGACGGTGCGATCGTTCCAAGTGTTGTAATCCTTACGTGCATGACTTAGAGAATCGAATTCTCTAATCATCACTTAGTCAGCTCTGGCCAGAGACTTAGAATGATTACAAACTTTCAGAACACACAGGGCATCCAAGACTATTCTAGCGATCGAATCCCCGACTACAATGCACAGACCTCCCACTAGATTTCGGACTGCACGAACACTGGCCCTTGGGATGGTCCTCGGTGGAACTCAGGGACAGGTCACGATACAGCTGGTCCTCTAGTGAAGTCACGGTGATGTCTAGGTCATAAGGACTAATGGTGTACAACTATACCATAGATATCTCTACTCGATTATTGGGAACCACTTAGAGATTTCTAGGGTGAGGGAGTTCAGTGAACTCGTCAACTTACGAGCACCCACTTATGCATGCCGATATCACAATACCGTTTACTGATGAGATGCAGTACACATACACTAAGTGCTAGTCTTAATGGGAAAGGCCGATATCCTCATTAGTGGCGTAACCCTTCGACTAGGAACACGTTTAACAGTTATAATACTTAAGTAAATATCTCACGATCCTAACGATCAATTACTAGTACTTGTAATAACTGTAAGGACTATATCTATGCTTGTGACAAAGGGACAAAGATATAGAATGCCAAGGTGTTTTATCATTAATACGAATAAAGGTTCGTTTATTACAATAATAAATACGAAAAACCACAGCCACATGTTGGCTTGTTGGTCACCTACTCTAACAATCTCCCACTTGACCTAAAGCCAACTACCCATAAATCGCAATTAAGGTGGAATACGGCAGGGTATTCTTTATGGGAGATCACCTATTTAAGTGTGAAGTATAGGGCCGCTTCAATGAAACACTTATGAATCCAAGAATTGGTCCAAGGCCGAAATGGACACAACGTGAGAACAAACGACGTTAGAGATGTTATTGTGTAAGTGTTGTTGTCTTGGTTTACACAAAAGTTGATTAGTTCAAGACATCACGTTCACTAGGCAACAAGTAAATCCCACATCATTTTACTAAAGAAGGTTCAAAGCCATAAGCTACCTCTCCCGATGCAATAACAAATCGCTTGGACTTTGAATGTGTCTACATGCATTAATTTCATTCATGTGGGGGATTGTTGGAAATTTTGAGTATTTGACTCAAGTTTTATTGAATATTTAAGTGGTTTAATTTAAATTCTCAAAATTAATTTTTGATGAATGATAAATTAATGGATCATTTAAAATATTTAAGTGTGGAAAATAATAAAGTGAAATGCCACCATTGAAAAAGATGGAGGTATTTAAGAACCTATTAAATTGAATAGGTGTGTAGTTAATGAGAAAAGGTGTGATACCTTTTCATGAAATTATTTTCCTAAGAGTTGTGACTTGTGGTCATAACCTTTGAAAATCTATAAATAGATTCCAAAATCCACCATTTCATCACTTCATTTTTAACATGGAATTCAATACATTAATTGAATTCAATTCTCATCATAGCATCTCATTGCATATTGTTGCATTTATCAAGTCCATTTCTTCGTGTCTTATAAAGTCCTAAACGTCGTTTCGTTCGCCGTGTTCCAATAATTGTTGTGCTGCTTTGTTGGAACTGAAATAGTCGTTGTATCTTGGGAGACAATTGCCGTAACCGAGAGCACTGCACGGGGCAAATTTGTCTTAAGGAGAAAGAACCTAGTTCTTGCCTCGACTACATTTTTCTTGTCAAAATTTTGTCTAAACTTTGTTTCTTCCCATTTCGAAATACACACACCCACAAATAACAATATGAGTCTTCAATTTTAATGTAAATGGATTTCATCTCACATTTACGATCTAAAATTGAGTGAATGTTCCTTACACTGGGTTTTGGGCAGTTGAGAGTTGAGTTTGTTCCCCTCGGGCATTGATTTCTAAATTTATTCTTAAGCAATCATTTTTCTCTGTGGTGGATTTGAATAATTGGAGTTGTTGATGTGAACTGAGTAGTATAGCCCAGCTAGATGGTATTGCCATCGGAAGTGGCCCGGAGTTGTGCATTCATAAGGAATTAAGTGTTAGATTAGATTACAGCATTTTACGATAGATAAAGATCGGTGGGATAACCTTCTCAATCTGGGCAGGTTGTTTTATTCTACGTAAATGCGGGCAGCTCATTTTTTAGTTTAACATTGGTTTTTTTTTGGGACATGTTTTTTTATGTGTAAGGAGATGTTTTCAGTGTATTCAAACGTCTAATCTGGCGTGCTATTAATTTTACAATTACAATATATGTAAAATGTTGCAATTTTACGATCCGATTATTGAACCCCCTCTCTGGTTTTACTCAAAGTCTCGACTTTGTGTACCTTGCGTGTGAATCAAATGAATTCTGCTTCATTTTCTTGACATTTGTGCTTGATGGCTAGAGCCTATAGTTGTTGCCTTGTTGGTAAATTACGATATTTTTTATCTCCCTTAATGGTGTCTTTGATAAGGCATAGTTTGACGAATGAAATGGTCGCTCAGGTCCCACTTTTCGAGTTACTCTCTCTCGTCAACTCCCTTTCCTCTTAAAAAAATCTTCTCTTTTCTCTCTTGTGATATGATTATGTCAAAGCTTAATATCAATGATAGACGAGGAAAACAGGTGTTTGTCTTAATACTCTGTCTACTTTTCGTCTTATGGTTGGCAGCAAGATGGAAAGGAAAAACAGCCGAAGCAAAAGCCCTAGCGGAGCCCATGTCCACAATAGTTTCTCGGCTCCAATCCTCTTTGATTGAATCCAATTCTCAAGGAATCCTTTCAGGGAGCAGCGTTCTTCTTGCAGCACCCGTAGAACAAATCGAGCTTTTCAACCACGCGTGTTTCGGCCGTCCCGTTATCACCACAGAGAAGAACAAGCAGTGGTTTCAACTATGCCTCGAGGAAGCTTTTTACCTCTGCACCGTAATGAAATGCATCAAGATTGTAGGTCAAAATAGTTGCGTAAAAAACGAGGAAGAGCTGTGGGATTACATGTCGTCCAAGAGAGTGAATTTCCCGATTCTGTATAAAGCGTATTCGCATCTTCGTACGAAGAACTGGGTGGTTAGGGCGGGGTCTCCGTACGGTGTTGACTTTGTTGCCTATCGGCACCACCCGGCTTTAGTGCACTCAGAGTACGCTGTTAATGCCTCTTCTGCTGAAGAAGGAAACGAAAATGGACGTTTGAAGGTTTGGTCTGATTGTCATTGCACTCTTCGTCTCTGTGGCAGTGTTGCAAAAATGTTGTTGGTTCTCCACATTAGCAGAAACTGTAACGATTGTGACGGTGCTAGTTCTTCTCCTTGGAATATTAATTATTACAGCGTGAGGAATGAATCGTTGCCAGGTGGAATCCCGAGCAAAGCCGGGAGAATTGTACGGTTGCAGAGAAGGAATCGTGTAAGTCGTCATAAGCTTAACTTAACTCCTGTTTATTGTACCAGTTACTATGCTGTAAGATTTTGCCATCTTGTATAAATAAGAGATTGCTGCAGAAATTGGTCTGCTGATTTTGGGCAGATCTGCTGCATGCACTGTATCTAAGTAAAAGATTTGCCAGTACATCCATATCATGTACTAAATATTTAGATTTTTTATTTTACTTATTATTTTTTTGTTTTTCATGTGCACATGTGATCAGGAAAAAATATTATAGAGAAAATAATAGGGCAAGTTATGGATACCCCCTATGTAAGATCAAATTACGAAAAGCCATCTTATTTCAGTAATTACAACTATCCCCTCAACTATGTATAATCTTACGAAAAACCCCCTCATTCAGTAGGTAATCTTGACACCGTAAGGATGGACGTGTATTAAAGGGTGGTTGTAATTACTCAAATATAAAGGGGGTTTTGTAATTTGATCTTACTTTAGTGGGGTGATCGTAATTTGCCCAAAATAATATAAGTAAAAACCCAAAGATTAAATACTCTCCAAAAATAAATTGAATTTGAAGTGATTAAACAGCAAAATATTAATTAACATTCTTAATTAAACACCTTTCATGGATCCATCCATGTCTACTCAATGATGCATTGTGCACATGCAGTTGCTTATAAACCCTTACGTAGTTTCCATGTGCAGCATAGTTCTTAAACAGTTCCATTACAAGACACGTCATCACATTAATACAAAATATACAGACAGTGTTTTTTTTCTTTTCTTTTTTTTTTTTCCGAAAACACCAAATAAACTGCGAAATAATTCCACACACGCGCGTTGCTCGTAAAAATCTTTAAAATCCAAACGCACCTCTAGAAATGTATCCTACTAGGCTGCGACTTCTCCATTCTTGTCTCTCCATAAGGCTCGTCATTATCGATCCTTTTGTTGTGCCTAAAAGCAGCACAAGCAACCACATAGAGTATGACGAGGATTATCAAGACAACTATGTTAATAACCGACACTTTTCTCCAGCTCTTCTTCAAGCTAGCCACTACCCCAGCTTTGCAAGAATCGCACCCGTAGCATAATTGCTCCTGGTCGTTGCTCCATTTTGTGCAATCTGTGTCGGGCCCCACGAGGCCGCCACCTGGCGTCCACACCGTCTCGTTTATGTACACGTAGCCGCATGATGTAGGCGGTTTGCAACATCCAGACTAGCACATGTAAAACCAATGTTAAGCATGCAAGCTAAGAGTTATATTTGACTTGCCAAAAAATCTAGATTTGCTAAAAAAGTCTTCATGTTATAATATTAGCAAAAGAACCCCATGGTACATTATTTTTTAGCACACGGCCCCCCTAAATGGTGTGTTTTAGGGGGTAGTCTGCTAGTTAAAAAATAGCATCATAAATGATTGTTGCTAATATATACATAACACGGAAACATAGGGATGCTAAATGCAATAAAGTACCCCGTGTTATCCTATTAAGGCCTCGTGTTGTTGTCACAATGGAATAAGCCAAGATAGACACAATCTTATTAAATTCCGGATTGTATAATTAGACCAGCGGGTCCCATTAAGTCAAAATAAACAGATAAAGAGCATGGACGAAACCAAATAAAAGCCCGTTAATTAATCATGGCATATCTACTCAACCAACCAAACGGGGACTAGTTTCGAGAAATAGATACCGAGTGCATAGAAGCACGAGATAAGCCAAAATAGTATTATATGTTATATGCTTTCAAGAACCAGATAAATAAATTCAAGAAAGAGAAAAAAAGTGTGCATACTTTTTTATGTTTGATTCATTTTGATCACCAAATCAATTATTGCCCTTTTGAATATCAAGAAAGTGTGACGATGATCTAATATGCTATCTCCTACAACTACCGTTCAATCACTGTCATCATCGAACTCGTCTTTATTTAGTCATCACATACTATTATTTTGATCTGATAATATATTTATATAACTACACCGGATATTTTAAACAACCTCGGTTAATTAAATAAGTAGGTTGAGTCTTTTTCACAATTTTATATTTTCAATTGATTATACAGCCATGCAAACATGAGCAAAGTAGGTTGACCTCTGAAAACCTATCTTCAACATTATTTATAAAAAATAAAAAAAAAAGAACTAACCCCATATGATTGAAAAACAATTCAATTACCTCAAATTTTATCACTTAACCCCCTCTCAAAATATTTGTAGTTTGTTTAATGTTTGGCATACGTATTAAGAAAGTTAATAATTTTTTATTGTTTTTTTTACTGCTGAAATCATCCTTCCAAGGGAAGTAATAGCTGTCAACCAACTAGTTTAAAATTCAATAAAATATATATATATATATATATATATATATATATATATATATATATATATATATATATATATATATATATATATATATATATATATATATATATATAATCCTAAAATTTAATATAAGAAGGAAATATCTAATGAAAGACCCCCATATATGTTGTCAGGCCATGTGAACAAGTTATGGAGCACGTTCTTAGCAATTACTCAATCAATGCTTGGAAAGAAAATAACCAATTATTATCTCAGGAGAAAATTATAATACTAGGAAAAAATAAAAATAAAATAAAAACTTCAAGTGTAGACAATGACAATAGCCCTTTGGCTTTTGGTAAAAGACACAAGAAGAAAGTGATACGTACCAGAAACTATACATAAATAATTATTTTATTTTATTTTATTTGATGATAGCCTAGCTTTCCTATTATTGATGTCGTTTTCATTTTCTTGTAATTCGCATGGTTTTTTCATCGACTAGCTAGGCCATTTTACATTATGATTAAATGAATGTGTGATGAAAAATAAAATAAAATTGGTAAATTACGGCCAAATTACGAAAACACCCTAATGTTTGGGTAATTACAACCACCCTTGAGCTATGATTCTTCTTACACGTTCACTTAAATTCAACATAATCTTTTAGATTTTGTGAAATGTTCTCTAATTTGTACTCATTTTGCGCAAAAAAACAGTTTACCCAAAAATAAAATAAATTCCAACCTTTTTCGTAATTTAATCTTACCTCAGGACGTGGCCGTAATTTACCCAAAAATAAAATAAATTCCAACCTTTTTGCATTTCAAGAAGAAAAACAACAAAAAGGCACAACAAGAAGGATGTTTGATCAAAAAGTTTAAAGGGCAAAAGGGACTTTAAATTTAACCAAAAAGCTCATATAAATATCTGGTTTATTGGTAGTAATAAAGTAGAACAGTGTAATCTCTCTCTAGTTCAAATCAAAGTGTTATTACAAAACGACAACAGAAATTTGTGGTTAAGATATCTTATCCCCTAATAATAATAAAGACTGAATTTTTATTTCATTTTTAAATGTAAATAAAAAAAAGGGCATGTTTACATAATCAGCCAAATTAAGAACACTAATTAATTCAAAGCTCCAAACATATATAGATTAATTAATGATTTCTAATAGGTATCAGATTTTCAGAGATTCAATAAATAAAAAATCAACAATTAAATTCAAATTGTTTTTTATTCTGACCTGAATAGGGCTGAGTTTTCTGAGGTAAAACATCTCGGCAGATTCAGGAACGCCCCCAATATTTCTGCCCATCTTTCTGCACGCGCGTGAATCCCTAATGCAGGACCCGATTTTGGCCCAGTAACTATCACTCGCGACCCGATCCGAGAGCCAACCCGAGTAGTCCTGGAGCGAGTAGTCGAGGTAGGCCCGGTTCATCACGGGCTGGCCGGAACCCTTGCCGGTGACGGCGTAGGCGAAGATGACGAAGCCGAGTAGGGTGGCGATGATGATGAACATGGCCCACAGGTAGAGGTACATGAGGAAGTTGTTCCGGTAGCAGGCGCCGGCGAATCCGGCGAGGGAGACGACCATGATGGAGACGCCGATTATTATGAGCGGCCATTGGAGGAACTTCAGGCAGTCGGTGTTGTTCGCGCGGCTGCTCAGCCATATTCCGCCGCCGAGGATGGGGATCGAAAGGACGAAGGTGAGGAAGTTCAGGGCGCCTATTAGGTGGTTGCTCGTTCTCATGGCGGCGGCGGTGGTTGTGATTTTTTTTGAAATTTAATTGTCTTTACAAGAGAGAGAGAGAGAGAGAGAGAGAGAGAGAGAGAGAGAGAGTACTGCTTGCTGTATTTATTGGTAAAACCCGGAACCAGTGGAAAACCCCGGTGGTCGGTGCCGGATCTGTAGAAGAGAAGAAGTGAAAAAGGGAAAAGAGGCGGTGGGTGGGGGAAGATGGAGAGACGAGATAAGAAAATATGTTTGGGTACCAATTTACTTAAGAATTAAGATCACTTATTGGATTATAAATAAAAATAATAACTTCATTTTTAATTTATAATAATTATAAAATTAAAAATTAAAAAAACCCGGGTCGAACCCGGTCCAACCGTGACCCGAATGTCTAGCCGGTTTTATGTCCGGTCCGGTCCGGTTCTGATAACATTAGGGAAAATCAAAATTTGTGGGAAACAGAGATAAGCATGCTTTGGTACACAGTTAATGACTAAATTACCCTCTGCAGAATGAGCGATTTACTGATTTTGTTTAAATTTTGGTTTAATGGCACTTTGCCCCCCAACTATTGTGTGTTTTGCACATTATCCCTGGACAAAAAAACATTCACAACATTTTACCTAAACTATGCATGGTGCCTCCGTTTTACCAATTCAGTTCATTTCTCGCCGGAATTGTCATTCACTTCAAGTTTTTTAGGGCAAAAAGAAGAAAAAAACGAGGGGAAATACAAGTACGAATTGAATAGACGTGTATACCCTAAAAAACCCATATGCAGACGAGAAATGAACCGAATTGGTAAAATTGAGGCACCGTGCAACAATTTAACGAGTTCAGGTAAAAATTTGTATACTTTTTTGTTCAGGGGGTAACGTGCAAAGCACGCGATATTTTAGGGGGCAAAGCGCCATTAACCCTTCGATTTTTGTTGAAACAAAATTTTACAAGGAAATGACTAAATTACCCTCTGAAGATTGTTGTATCCAGCAAATTCAATGCAAATAAGAAGTGTGTCCCTGAAAATCGAGCATATTTCCTGGAAGTAAAATGTGGAACTAAAAAGGATATTTTGAAAAATTACAATTATTGCCTATTAAAAACCACTTAATTGTTTGTGACCCCACCATACATTTTTGCACTTTCGCATTTGTTCTCCTTTGCACCATACAACAATTAGCAAAAGACGGAACAAATGGGTCGGTGTCATATATTTGAACTACTCCGCGTCTCACCATTCACCGGTGACCGCCGCCGGCTCGCATCAAAACCCCTATTTAACTGATTTCATCGTCACCTAAAAAGCGGCGATTGAAATTTGAGTTTTTGAATTTAAGGTAAATGAATTGAGTGAATGTTCCTTACTTTGGATTTTGGGCAGTTGCAAGTTTGAGTTTGTTCCCTTTGGGCATTGATTTCACACTTCTGAAGTTGTATTTTCTAAATTTATTCCCAAGCAATCATTTTTCTAAATCTGCTTTTTTTTTTCTTTTGTCTCTCTGAAGTTTTGTGAATAAATTTTGTTTTGTTGATATGGTGTTTGTGATTTAGCCCCTTTTGGATTTATTTATATTAGAAAAGGCTGTGGATGAATTATTTGCAGAAATTGTTTATTGTGCATGCTAGGTGTTTGATGAATTGATTTGTGGTATTATTATTGTAAAAAGTCCATCTTGGCAAATCAGTTGAGCCCTTTTAAGGGCAAATGAGCTGCTTTGAATGCTAATGGACTAATATTAAATCTCTCTCTTTCTCTTAACTATTTTCCGCTTCTTCAAATCTGTTAAGTTTGCATATTAGTGGAGATGAAGCATATTAAAAAAAATATTGAATAGTTGTTTGTTGAAATTGTGAATCTTTTGTATGCAAGGTGTTTGATGAATTGATTTTTTTGTGTCAAATTTATTTTTTTCTACTCCATCTAGGCAAGTAGTTGAGCCCTTGCAAATGAGCTGCTTTTGAATGCTAATGGACTTACAGCTAAATCATCTCTTCATTTTTGTTCCTCACCACTCACCGGAACACAGTTACCGGTAACCGCCGCCGGCTCGCATCGACACCACCGCCGCTTCCGGCCGTCCGACGTCCTCAGCGAATACCCTATTCAACTGAAATCACGCGTTTCAGCGTTCGTCGTCCAATTTTGACCGGAAAAGCGGCGATCGAAAGCTACAGCAGCGGCAATTGAAATTTGAGTCTTCAATTTTAAGGTAAATGGATTTGATCGCACATTTACGATCTAAAATTGAGTGAATGTTCCTTACACTGGGTTTTGGGCAGTTGCGAGTTGAGTTTGTTCCCTTCGGGCATCGATTTCTAAATTTATTCCCAAGCAATCATTTTTCTCTGTGGTGGATTTGAATAATTGGAGTTGTTGATGTGAACTGAGTAGTATAGCCCAGCTAGATGGTATTGCCATCGGAAGTGGCCCGGAGTTGTGCATTCATATGGAATTAAGTTTTAGATTAGATTACAGCATTCTACGATAGATTAAGATCGGTGGGATAACCTTCTCAATCTGGGCAGGTTGTTTTATTCTACGTAAATGCGGGCAGCTCGTTTTTTAGTTTAACATTGGTTTTTTTTGGGACATGTTTTTTTATGTGTTAGGAGATGTTTTCAGTGTATTCAAACGTCTAATTTGGCGTGCTATTAATTTTACAATTACAATATATGTAAAATATTGCAATTTTATGATCCGATTATTGAACCCTCTCTCTGGTTTTACTCAAAGTCTCGACTTTGTGTACCTTGCGTGCGAATCAAATGAATTCTTCTTCATTTTCTTGACATTTGTGCTTGATGGCTAGAGCCTATAGTTGTTGCCTTGTTGGTAAATTACGATATTTTTTATCTCCCTTAATGGTGTCTTTGATCTGGCATTGTTTGACGAATGAAATGGTCGCTCGGGTCCCACTTTTCGAGTTACTATCTCGTCAACTCTCTTTCGTCTAAAAAAATTCTTCTCTTTTCTCTCTTGTGATATGATTATGTCAAAGCTTAATATCCATGGTGGACGAGGAAAACAGGTGTTTGTCTTAATACTTTGTATCTACTTTTCGTCTTATCGTTTTCTATGGAACAGATAATGGCAGCAAGATGGAAAGGAAAAACAGCCGAAGCAAAAGCCCTAGCGGAGCCCATGTCCACAATAGTTTCTCGGCTCCAATCCTCTTTGATTGAATCCAATTCTCAAGGAATCCTTTCAGGGAGCAGCGTTCTTCTTGCAGCACACGAAGAACAAACCGAGCTTTTCAACCACACGTGTTTCGGCCGTCCCGTTATCACCACAGAGAAGAACAAGCAGTGGTTTCAACTATGCCTCGAGGAAGCTTTTTACCTCTGCACCGTAATGAAATGCATCAAGATTGTAGGTCAAAATAGCTGCGTAAAAAACGAGGAACAGCTGTGGGATTACATGTCGTCCAAGAGAGTGAATTTCCCGATTCTGTATAAAGCGTATTCGCATCTTCGTTCGAAGAACTGGGTGGTTAGGGCGGGGTCTCAGTACGGTGCTGACTTTGTTGCCTATCGGCACCACCCGGCTTTAGTGCACTCTGAGTACGCTGTTATTGCCTCTTCTGCAGAAGAAGGAAACGAAAATGGACGTTTGAAGGTTTGGTCTGATTTTCATTGCACTCTTCGTCTCTGTGGCAGTGTTGCAAAAACGTTGTTGGTTCTCCACATTAGCAGAAACTGTAACGATTGTGACGGTGCTAGTTCTTCTCCTTGGAATATTAATTATTACAGCGTCGAGGAAAGAATCGTTGCCAGGTGGAATCCCGAGCAAAGCCGGGAGAATTGTACGGTTGCAGAGAAGGAATCGTGTAAGTCGTCATAAGCTTAACTTGACTCCTGTTTAACTTAAATCATCTCTTTATTTTTGTTCAATGTCTCAATCGTGACGTTCGCTAATCAGTTGAGATGAGCATATCTAATAACTAATAAGATACTGACAAGTTGTTTATAGAAATTCTGAATCTTGTGCTTGTTAGGTGTTTGATGAAATGCTTTGTGGTGTTATCGTATCTTTTCTAACTCTAGTCCATCTTGGCGAATCAGCTGAGCCCTTTTAAGGGCAAATGAGCTGCTTGTGAATGCTAATGGACTTACATCCAAATCATCTCTTCCATTTTTGTTCAATGTTACTCGAAACTCAATCAGTGACGTTTGCAGGTCAGTTGCGGTGAAACATAACTAGCTGTTTATAGCAATTCCGAATCTTGTGTCTTTTAGGTGTTTGATGAAATGTTTTGTGGTGTTATTTTATCTTTTCTAGTCCATCTTGGCAAATCTTTGAATGCTAATGGACTTACAGCTAAATGCCTCTCCTGTTTGTATTCAAGGTTACTCGAAGTTTATTCGGGTAGCTAATTAGTGGAGATGAAAATTTAAATAGACTGAATTATTTTTTCTTCCCCTTTTTATTTGGTGATTTAAGTTTTGATTATATATTTGCAGAAGAATTTAATGGTGTTCTATGAACTCGTGTGGGCGATTTACGAGTCTTTTCTTGAAATACGGATATTATGTCTGCTGATTTTATATTTTGTAGAGGTCTTAGTTTGAGTCTTGAATTTTCGGTATTTTGCGTATTGGCGATGATGAAAAAAAAAGGCCGGACTTACGGCTGCTACTAAACAGTTTGGTAGTAGATTGATGATATTTTTCCAAAAGGTGTTTTACTTTGGAGCCAATGGTGTATTGTTTATTTTCCTATAATCTTGATTTTTAATTTTACACGTTTCCTTTTTTTAAATTGAATATAATTCTTAATTCATGGTGTTGTTTGCTATGTCCAATGTCACAACGACTAGTACAATACGGTGACATTTTATTTCATGAATACATATTACATTGACCCCTTATGAAATAACATTATCGTAAACGATTAGTTCCTTTTAGACCTCCTCTTCGTATTTCGTGTATTTGTGTGTATTTTTGTGTGTGTTGTTTCTCATGTATGTGTATACGATGTTGTGTGTAGGGCTATGGCTGGTTTGGTTTTTATCCACCAACCGACCTATTACCGACCATATTTTTAGGTGGATAATCAATTTTTAACAAATCCATTGGTTCGGGTTGAAAATTTCAACCAACCCATCTATAATGGATCGGTTGGTGGTGTCTAATATTATCAAAAGTTGGTCGACCGATAATTATCGGTCATCCAACTATATTATTAAAATTTTATTAATAAATTATAAAATAAAGACCGTCTTTTCTTAAGTGGTTATTGAAATTATCAAAATAATTATCAAACATAAATTTTTCACTAGTTTCTTTATGCTCAAAACTTAATCAAAAAAGTCCACAAAATTCCACTAAATCTCTTGTGCATGTTTGAAATTACTTTAAATTTCCTAATTATATTTTTCTTTAAATTGTTATTCATTATTTTGAACCGATAAATGATGATCGCACCGTGGTATTACGTAGAATGTGAATCTTTTTACTCTAAATTTGAATATTTTTTAAGTGAACTAGGTTGCGGGTGTAAACTATCAATCGACCCATTCCGGAACCAAATATTCGGTTGTCAACCATCAACCGATTCACAAAGGTTGGGTCGGCAACGGTTTTTTCAAATTGAGCAAAAAAGGTTTGACGGATGGGTCGGTTTTTAGGCTGGCAATCGATCGACCCAACTCAGTCCCAGACCTAGTTATATGTGTGTGTGTGTGTGTGTGTGTGTGTGTGTGTGTGTGTTTTGCACTCTTCTGGTTTGTGTTTTTTTGTGGTTGGTGAGAGTTTTGCCAGAGAGTGGCTTCTTCTTCCCTTTTTTATCCCCTAATCTTCCCCTGGTTTGTGTGCCATCTAGAGAGAGAAACCGAGAGAGGAGGGGGCTAAAGGGGTCTTGTGGGCTTTATTACATATGGGCTTGGTTGGTAAATCTTGGGCTGGAGATAGAGGTGGGCTTTTGGGCCCATTTGAGGCATTACTTGGGATTGGGCAAATCAGTCCAAATCAGTAACTACACATAGGTAGAGGCAGTGTTCTAAAAATCGGCCGAGGCGGCCGATTAATCGGTCGCCTAGGCGGAGGCGTTCCAAAACCTTTACGATTTTAGTGTAAAGGTTTGAAAAATCGTTTTTTTGCCTGTGAGGCGGTTTGAGGCGGTCCGAGGCGGTCTGAGGCGGTCCGAGGCGGTCAAACCTGTAAGGCGGGTCAAACTTCGGTAGCAAAAATCGGCAAAAAATCGGTTTTTTTTTTTTTTTTTTTTTTTTTTATAAATCAAAATAAAAGTTGGAATTTTAATAAAAAAAAAGGAGTTTATGCTTTATTTTGTTTATGTTAATTATTATTGTTAAAGAACTAATGATTTATGCCAAGAATGTATGTAAATTCAAAAAAAATTGCCTTTTTATTTATATTTTATAAGGATATTTATGTATTATGATCTTATTATTATTAAACTTTATTTATGTTATTAGAATATATACATGATGGAGATATAACTATGTTTAAATATTTTTTATCTATGTTTTGAGTATTTATAAATAATATCTACAAATATATTATATTAAATTTTAAAAACCGATTTATTTCCGATTTATCACCGATTAATCACCGCCGCACCGATTAGTCGTGAGTCGGTGCCTGATCGACTCGGACCCGATTACCGCTTTTTACAACCTTGGGTAGAGGCTTTTTGATCTTATCTCGGGCTATAATGCACTGGTATGTGGACACGGCGATATGCGGATACGGACACGGTAATATGGCATTTCCAACAAACTAGGGATACGGACACACGGGGATACACGTAAATATTAAAAATATAAAGGTATATTTATAAATTATAGAATAGGGTTACATTTACAAATTGTAAAAAAGGTATTTATAAGTCGTTAAATCCCATAAGAGAACCGCTCGCCCTTGCTGCTCGTGTTCTTGGTCGCCTTCGCAGCTAGAGTTTTGGACTTTCGGGTGAACTCTCCAAGATGACAGAGGAAATATGTATTACAAGAAAAAAAAAACGTATTTTTTTATTAGGGCTTTCTCAAGACATAAGAGTCGCGTCCCAACATTTTTGAAATTGCGGACATTGCCCATATTGAGATATATATGAGTTATATGTATTTACGTTTATTATTATTGTATTTTAGGTAGTTTGTTTTGCATGGTAACTTAGAATCCTATATGATTTGGATTCCTTGTAACTCCCATATAAATGAGACTTACGATTTAATAAGAGAGACAAGATTTCTTCTCCAAAATGATTTCACATGGCATCAGAGCCAAATGTATAGTCAAAAAAAAAAAAAAAAAACAACAAGAAAAGAAACGGTGAGAAGATTACGGTGACCGGCGAAAGAACCAGCAAGGGGCAGTCGGCTGTTTCACCGTACTACCTTCACCCTTATGATAATCCCGGATCGTTGATCTCGTCAGTTCAACTGAAAGGAGAGAACTATGAGGAATGGGCTAGATCGATGCGCAATTCACTTCGAGCAAAGAAAAAGCTCGGATTTATCGACGGAACTCTGATGAAACCAACTGAGGACTCTTCAGAGATGGAGGACTGGTGGATGGTAAACTCGATGTTGGTTTCCCGGATGATCAATACGATCAAACCATCATTGAGATCCACCATCACCTATATGGAGAACGTGCAGGACCTGTGGGAGGATCTTTACGATTTTCCATCGGAAACAATGCTCGAGTTCATCAATTGAAAGCTGATCTTGCAGCGTGTAAACAACAAGGGCAAGCAATAGTGATTTACTATGGACGTCTAAAGATGATGTGGGACGAACTGGTGAATTACAAACCTATACCCGAGTGTAGGTGTAGTGGTTACAAGTGCAACATCTCATCTTCACTGGAAAAGAAGCGAGATGAGGAGAAGGTGCATCAATTCTTGATGGGGCTGGATGATGTGATGTACGGAACAGTACGCTCTAATATATTGAGCATGGAACCATTGCCCAATATTAATAGAGCCTACGCGATGATAATTCAAGAAGAATGACATCTAAACATTGCCCGGAGCAACGAAGATCGCGGCGATGCAGTGGGCTTTAGTACTCAATTGGGATCACATGCGAGAGCAGCGGCTGTACGCAACAAAGAGAAACAAGGGATATGCACCCATTGTGGAAAATCTGGGCACGATGCTAAAACGTGCTATCTGATTGTCGGTTATCCAGAATGGTGGGGAGATTGGCCTAGAGGGAACCAGAAAGGGACTTCCCGAGGCAGAGGAGGAGGACTGATCGAATGTGGCAGAGGAGGCAGTGCAAGAGTAAATGTCACTCGTGTGCCAGCAGAAAACGAGGCCACTCGATTCGACACGGAACGACATGCCTTCCCCAACCTCAGTGGAGAGCAATGGGCCACGCTACTTGCAATGTTGAATTCAAGTAAAAGTGGTGGTGAGCGACTTTCTGGTAAGAAAATTTATGATGAATGGATCGTAGACTAGGGCGCCTCTCATCATATGACCGGAAATTTAGAATTGTTATCCCATGTTTGTGAAATAACACCGACTCCAGTGGAACTTCCTGATGGAGAAAATGCAATTTCTTTGAAAGAAGGAAAATTATGCCTAGGAAGCGGTCGTTATTTGAATAATGTTTTTTTTGTTCCGACTATGAGTTGCACTCTTATATCCGTGTCTAAATTTTTTAAAGCACTAAAATCTATTATTACTTTCATTGATAAGTTATGTGTGATACAGGACTGCATCTCGAGGATCCTGATTGGAGCGGGTGAAGAGTGTGATGGGGTCTATTTCTTTCGAGCAATTCCGACAGCACGAGCATGTAAAGCGAGCGGTTTGGATGAACGAGAATTGTGGTATCGAAGATTAGGACACCCGTCCAAGAAGTTGTTATCTTTTATTCTAGTAGTTAAGAGTGGTAGTAGTATATACACTAATAAAGATTCTTGCGATATTTGTTTACGAGCAAAACAGACTCGAGAAGTTTTCCCTACAAGTAATAATAAAGTCGTTGATTGTTTTGCTTTAATTCATGTTGATTTATGGGGTGCTTATCGGACACCTTCGACTTGTGGTGCTGTCTATTTTTTTTGACTATTGTTGACGATTTTCCGAGAGCTGTTTTGATTTATCTGTTCCTCGATAAGAAAGAAGTTGAACAAACAATTAAATTTTTTTGTGACATGGTTGATAGACAATTTCAGAAGCAGGTTAGAATTGTACGTAGTGATAATGGTACAAAATTCCTATGCCTAAGATCATATTTTGAAGCACAAAGAATTTTGCACCAAACATCATGTGTCGCAACACCTCACAAAACGGTCGAGTGGAGCGCAAACACAAGCATATTTTGAATGTGGCTCGAGCGTTGATGTTCCAGGCACACTTACCGATACGATTTTGGGGTGAGTGTGTTTTGACAACAAGTTACTTGATAAATAGGACCCTGTCTTTACTTCTTGGCGGCAAAACTCCCTATGAGATGCTGTTTGGAGAGTTGCCACAATATGGCGTTTTGAGGACATTTGGCTGTCTATGCTATGCACATCGGGTTGATCGTAACAAAGATAAATTCGGTGAACGCATTAGAGAGTGCATTTTTTTGGGTTATCCACATGTAAAGAAAGGATGGCGAATTTTCGACATAAAAACCGGCGAATTCTTTGTTTCCCGTGACATTGTATTTTCTGAACATGTATTTCCTTATAAGACGAACGTTGAACCTGAATCTCGAGATCTGGTTGGAGAAACAGTTGATAATGTCCTCGATGATGACACCGACGAAGTGAGGGGGAGTAATGAGGCAGGTGATGTTAGGGAGAGGGCTAGCGACGAGGCAGGTGATGTTAGGGAGAGCGACCAACAAAATGAAGCAGTAGAAATGGTGGATGGGGGAGCCACTGATAATACTGAAGATGTGGTGGCTCCGGTACCCAAAGAAAATATGGGAAGGGGTCACCGACACCATAAGTCGACTGTTTTGTTGAAAGATTTTGTTACATACAATGCTCGATGCTCGCATGACCCCGTTCACCCTACACTCGACTCACAACAAGGATTCTCAGGTACTTCCCTTTATCCCATAATTAATTATGTGACATGTGATAAATTATCTGCTAGGCATAGAGCCTTCGTGGCTCAAATTGATACAGGTGTTGAACCCACACGATTCTCTGAGGCTATGAAATATGAGAAATGGAGAGAAGCAATGAGATTAGATATTCATGTTTTGGAGAACAATAATACTTGGACTTTGGAGACTCTTCCTGCCAGAAAGAAGGCCATAGGCAGAAAATGGGTCTACAAAATCAAGTACAAGTCCAACGACAGTATTGAGCGGTACAAAGCTCATTTGGTCGTACTGGGGAATAATCAGCGGGAAGGCATAGACTACAAGGAGACATTTGCATCGGTAGCAAAAATGGTAACGTTGACAACATTTTTGGCCGTGGCTGCAGCAAAGAAGTGGGAGCTTCACCAAATGGATGTGAATAACGCATTCTTGCATGGCGATTTGAGCGAAGAGGTTTATATGAAATTGCCACCCGGTTTTGCTTCCGCTGATCAGACGAAGGTGTGCAAATTGCAAAACTCGCTATATGGTTTAAGGCAGGCTCCGAGATGTTGGTTTACGAAGTTGACAGCAGCACTTAAGCACTATGGCTTCTCTCAATCGTTATCGAATTATTCTCTTTTCACTTATGACAAGGGATTTATTCGCTTAAGTGTAGTGGTTTATGTTGATGATCTAGTTGTTGCAGGAAATGATTCTACCGATGTGACTCATTTCAAGAATTATCTTGGACGTTGCTTTCATATGAAGGACCTTGGTGTACTAAAATACTTACTTGGCATTGAAGTGAGTCGCGGGTTAGATGGAATTTTTCTATGCCAGCGAAAATATGCGTTGGACATTGTGGCTGAGACGGGTTTGTTAGGGGCCAAGCCAGCGCCTGTTCCGATTGAACAAAATCACCGACTCGCTTTGTCAGAACACCCACTTATAGAGGATCCAGAACGTTACCGGCATTTGATTGGTCGGCTAATCTACTTGACGATAACTAGGCCCGAACTTAGTTATTTGGTGCATATATTGGCGCAATTTATGAAGAATCCAAAGGTAGATCACTGGGAAGTTGCGATGCGAGTAGTTCGTTATTTAAAAGGACAGCATGGCTAAGGTGTGTTGTTGCGTTCTGACATTGACTAGCGACTGTATGCCTACTGCGATTCGGGTTGGGGGAGTTTCCCGATAACACGACGTTCGTTAACTTGTTATTTTGTGATGTTAGGAGGATCGCCTATCACTTGGTAAATGAAAAAACAACATACTGTGTCTCGATCATCGGCCGAGACTGAGTATCATTCAATGGCAACTACATGCTGCGAGCTGTGAGCAAAAGTGGTTGAAAGGACTTTTGCATTTACTCGGGATCTCAAATGAAAAACCAATGGGTCTGTATTGTGATAGTCAAGCAGCTTTGCACATCGCCGCAAATCCTATTTTTCATGAACGAACGAAACATATTGAGATTGATTGCCATTTCGTTCGAAATGAAATAAAACGAGGTCATATTGCTACGTCCCATGGACGGACGCATGAGCAGCTCGCCGACATTTTGACCAAGGGACTTGGTAAACCACAATTCGATCAAATTCTTCGCAAGTTGGGGATTCACAATCTTTATGCGCCAATTTGAGGGGGGTATTGACATATATATGAGTTATACGTATTTACGTTTATTATTATTGTATTTTAGGTAGTTTGTTTTGCATGGTAATCCTATATGATTTGGATTCCTTGTAACTCCCATATAAAGGAGACTTCCGTTTAATAAATAAGAGAGACAAGATTTCTTCTCCAAAAGGATTTCACAGCCCAACACGGGTGTCCTACTTTTTACGAAGATACGACACAACCTGGCATGAGTGTCCGAGCCGTGTCCGCGTGTCCAAGTGTCAGATACGAGGACTCTTCACCTTTTAGAAGTGCCCGTACAGTAGGGACCTCAGATGGTTTAGTAATTTGCGTTTTTTGTATAATGAGAAGGAAAACAAATATTTCGTGATTTGCAAGCTATTGCACAAGAATAAAGATTTATTCGACGCACCTATATAGTCAGCTCAATCAAAGAGACTATATCCTCTCAATTACTCCAAGAAAGAAGTAAGGATTTTCAATAGGCATGTCTCAGTTTAAGTGTGTGTTTGTGTAATTATAGGAAAGAGGAAATCATGAAAAGAGACAGTTAGGAAGTAAATTGATAATTCAGTGTTTTTTTATTAACAATGTTTAGTAACAAAAAAATTAAAATAAAAAAATAAAGAAAAAATAAATGACAAACAAATGCAGCAAGACATCAAACCATAAATTCTCCTCCTCAAAATATTTCTGAAGTTTAGAATTTGATGTTAAGGACCTTACCAAGAGGCTGATAGTTCTTGGCAGAAGCAGCATCATCGTATTCATTTATTTCCGTACTATTACCAAAATCTCTCGAAAACGATTCTTCGCGTAGAGCAACTAACGCCGCCTTTCTCCGTTCTTTGTGCTCCTTTCTCCTCTTCATCTTCTCCTCCATCGCTGCTTTTGCCTTCTCCGCCGCTTCGGCTCTGCTAATCGCCTGCTCTGCTCTTGCCCTCATCTCCCCGATTCTCGATATCGCGTTTTCCAATTCCTTTTTCGTATTCTCCAACTCTCCACCGTTTTCGTCGCGTTCTTCTTCTTCGGTTTTCACCTCGTTGTTTTCTTGCATCAATGCTTCTTTCAGCATTCGGTTCTCTTTCTTCGTTTCTTCGGCTTCTAACCCCATCTGCTGGAGCGCGTTATAGAGGGCCGATTTCTCGCCTTGCGCTCTTGCTTCGGCAGCTTCGGCAGCAGCCGTTTTCGACCTCCCTTTGTGTATTTCGGATTTCAGCAAAGCTATCTCGATTTGGGCATCGTTCTCGTTTTTCTTCGTCTCGTCTTTTGCGTCGACAAGTGCAGTTCTCAGCTGTCGTAGCTCTGTTTCGAGCGAACCGATATAAGCCGATTGGTCCGAGTTCTTCTTCTCGTGCAATTCCGCTTCGTCTTTCAGTCGGTTGAGTTCGGAAATTGCGTCCGAAGCAACTTTCTCGTGAAAGATTCGAAGATCGTTAGCTTGCTTAACTTCCTCCTTCAACGAATCGATATAAGTGGATTTTTCCGTAAATTTATTCTCCAAATCTCGAATAGTCTCGTTCGCGTCAAGTAGTGCATTGGCTGCTAATTCTAACTCTGCCTCTTTTGCAGATACATAATCCATTTGTTTCTCTCTCATAACAAGAGATTCTATCTCTAAACTTTGCAGCTGGAATAGTGTCGATTCTAAGAAACTCGTAACGTACGAGAGCTTTTCTCGAGCCTTTTCCGATTCTGATAGCTGATGGGATGTTCTCTCGAGGGAAGATTCGAGTTCGTTTATACGTAAATCGGCTTCTTGCGATTGGTTGATGTACAAGTCTTTTTGAAGTTCGGAGTTCGTTAGCAAGATCGAAAGTTCGTTTGCTGTTTGTTGATGGTGATCTATCTTGATAAGGGCTTGTTTGTATGCTGAGTCTTTTGCTTCTATTTGAACTTTCAAATTTGCCACTTCTTTCTCTAGGTTTTCGACTTCTCTCTCTTTCTCTTCTTCCTGCATACGAAAAGATATATCCAAACGGTACATAATTCGAAACTTAAGAATACGGATTTTTCGGAATGGCATAACTATTCATTTCTTGAATAAAAAAAAACATAGAATCTTGACAATTATTAACCAAGAAGCTATGTAGCACAGACAGGGAAACAGTGATTCGGGGAAACGGGGAAATGACATATCCCAAAAAATGGGGATACGGAAACTTGGAGGAAACTTATATATATAAAATTATAGGGGTATATTTATAAATATTCTATGTAAACATATTTAAGTTTGCATTTAAACATAAATTATTTTTATATGTTTTGATACAAACATATTGAAAATAAATTTTCCTATCAACCGTCAATTTGCAATTGATCGTTAAACACTTTAAATAATTAGGGAAGGAACAAAAATATTTGAAAAATTACTATTCAATATGTTTCTAACTTTTTAGAAATTGCAAATTAAACGATAAGGTGTCCAGCAAGTGTCCGACACGAAACGTGTCCGAAACGCGCGCGTAAACGTTAAGAAGTTGAAGTTTCCGTGCTACATAGCCAATAAGATATTGGATCTTAATCAGGAAAAAAATGCAATAAATTATAAATCAGAAGATATATATGTATATATATATATATATATATACATGGTTTTTCGTCGGACAATCTTTGCGGTGGTCGCGGTTTGTCTGGCCGAAGAAAGAGATTGCAGATTGAACTGAATCGATTGGCTTCGTATCAATCTCACCCATCCTTTACTCCTCCAAGCTAATTCAAGAAAACTAAATTATCAATTAATACTGGCTTCTACCAAAAAAAAAAGTAAGAAGAAAAACTAAAACAAATAGCATGTAACACTAGTAAATTTATTTGATTTCAGACAAGGGTCCTATGTGAAGATTAGTATTATAAGGTTAATTGTGATTGGATAGATAATATCGAAGTGCCAATTGTTGCCACCATTTCATAAACTGTACAAAAGAATTCCTTGTAAGAATCGCCCAATGGAGGACCTTTTGGTTTTATTGAGTCAAGTGTAAGAGATTTTAACTGCTTTGTTTGGAAAACCGGCGCCAATTATTTTCTTCTTTTGTTGTTTGTTCCCTTTGTCCAAGAACCAAATTGACAATCAAATATTTTCTTCTTTTGTTTGGATTATGTTCAACATGTGGGATGTAAATGAGTCAAGCTCGAGCTTGAGTCAAATTTGGTGAGCTTGATCTCTCAAGCTCAAACTCGAGCTCGAGCTCAAGTTGAGCTGCGCCTGCGAGCTTAGCTCATTTATATATATATATATATATATATATATATATATATATATATATATATATATATATATATATATTATTTTTTTTTTCTAAATTTTTACATCATATTAATTTTAGTTTTTATTATAAATTATTTATTTGAAAAATAAAAAGTTATAGAAGAAAACATAGATCTGTAATATTATATATTTTATTGTTATATAAAGCTCGCAAGATGCCTCATGAGCTCATGAACAACTAAAGATGAGCTCGAGCTTTTTTCGAGCCGACTCTGCTCATTTACACCCCTACACACGCTCAAATAAATTATAAATCTAACGTGTTTATTTAGGCCCAACAAGCCTGTTAAGGCGTCGGGTTGGATACACCATATACAGGCCTAAAAAAAAGCTGTAGCCAACTAATCCAATCTCTAAATTTCAATGTGAAAGGAATTCTACAATCCCATATGGACTAATTGTAGAAGGTCGAGTTAAAGGCTTCCATGAACATTGAAATATATATATATATATATATACTAGCAATTCTTCCCAGCGTCATACACGGCTAGCAATATTGCAAAAATGAAAAAAAAAAATTAGATATATGATAATTAAATTGTATTAAAAAAATTGTACTATAGTAAAATAATTAATTATGAAATTTAAATTACCAAAATAACGTTAATTTTCCTACAAATGTGATCATACAAATCGCAACAAAACACGTGGATTTAATTAATAAGCATTAACCACAAAATAAATTGTTTACAAAAAACATTCTAAAAAAAACTATATGCGAGTGGATTAGGATTTTGCTAGCCGATTTGCAAATATAAACAAGGAAAGTCCTTACAGAAAAAAAGGCTTGAAAATAATATATAAATAATTTTAATTTTTGTACAAATATGCGATTAGGGTTTCATAGGCTGCCCTAGCGTTTCTTACTCTTATTTATACTAGCATTTTTGCCCCGTGCTTTAATATATAATAAGAAAATATAGTATACTAACATAGTAAAATTTAATAATGTAGCATTATTCATATTTTATATAACATTAGTTTTTTTAAATCTGACATATTAAGATTTATAATCCAAATATATAGATTAAGATTTAATGAATATAATTTCTATCTTTATCTCTTAAAATTTGAGATATATTGATGAAAATAGGAGATTGATAATTGTTGAAAATTATAGTTAAAAAATTAGTAGACAACAAATATTAAAAATATTTAATTACAGAAATACAAGTAGAGTTTTTTAGGGTTGCCCAGCGTTTCTTTCTTTTATATATATATATATATATATATATATATATATATATATATATATATATATATATATATATATATATATATATATATATATATATATATATATATATATATATATATATATATATATATATATATATATGGTTAATTGGGCCAACTCAATGGGTCTACAATTTCTTTACCTACTAGGCCATGAACTCAATATTGAAGACCACTACCATCGAGGCTCGATCATCTTCAAATAAGGTTTGGACCCGACAATCTCAATCAATTAAACGTCAGCTCAATCAATGATGTATAAATAAAGGTTTTAACTCATTCCTTAAGGTACGTCCATCTGATCAATACTACAACATGTATTTTCTGAACTATTTCTACTATCCGCAAGTCTGACTTGAGCATCGGAGGGGTTTCCGCCGGATCAACCCCCAACTTTGTGTACGTGTTCTATGATCGCATATATCTCAAGGTCATCAAGTTCGTGTGCCAGTGATCCACTTTGCTCTTCCAATTCATCTTACTTCAACATTCTAAGGTGATCTAACTCTAGCATCATCATTATGGTGTCGTCTGTGGGAAGGCATACTAGATCACGTAGCGCGCATGATGGCCTTGGGACATCTGCTCGGGGGAGAATGGCACAGTTAACAACCTCCCGCGTCGGCGAGGCTCTGGCTTGCCACTCCCCCCTCTGCGTATTCGGGATCCAACACGCTCCTCCTCACGAGGCCCCATTGGGTCCTCAATAGGATCCACTCTTCCTTGCTCCTCAAACGGTTCAGATAACCGAAGAGGACCTTCAGCGTATGATCGCGGAAGCTTCAACAAGATCGACTTCTACTTGCTCCTCGAACGGTTCAGATAACCGAAGAGAACCTTCAGCGTATGATCGCAGAAGCTTCAACTCGTGCTACCACTGAAGCAATGGCACAATACATCCATTGCGCAACCACCACTATATGATAACAACCACACAACGAGTGTGTGGTGGGCATCCACTTCGGACCCTAGATTTTGGATGCAACAATCCACTCATCGCAAAGAAGCGCGAACTGGGTAGCAACGCCCATACTCACCTCCGAGAGGCAACGCCTCTCCCTTACGAGCTCCTCCTTTCAACGATGTCAATGACAGTTGCAGTCTTTCAAGACCATCACAGGGTTCATGATCGCCTGATCCTAAGTTGTGGGCTATGTAACCCCAAGGTTGGGCATCACTACCCAAAGGGTTAGACATCCCATCTTAAGAGATGCTTATCATCTCTCTAACCCAAGGATAAGAGATCCACTTATGGGGTGGACATCAACCACCTCAAAAAAATAAAATAAATAAATCGCGTGCAAACCAGGGCGTGCGCCCCACGCCCCCAGCACGCACGCGCCACATAGCGCGCCCGTGCCCCACGTGTCTTGCGCTTCGGGCCGCCCTAAAAAAGGACAACAAAAAGAAAAGCAAAATGAGATGAATGAATAATAATATCTTTATTATTATTATTCCACGATAATGTTTAACGCAAAACTACAACACTGATCTACTCTCAACTCGATCCGCACCAATCGCGCGTCCCACGCCGATCGCGCGCCATGAGCCGATCGCGACCTCCGCGCCAAGTTCCGCGCCGGTACCACTCCGTTGCGAGACAACTGCCATGAGAAACCAACTCGCTCGGTACTACGAACCTGTTGCGAGGCAACTCCAACAAGAGCCGACTCACTCGGTGCTACGAACCCGCAGTAACTCCCACAAGGAGCCAACTCGCTCGGTACTACGACCCGTAGCGAGAAAAATCCCACGAGGAGCCAACTCGCTCATTGCTACGAACCCAGAGCGAGACAACTCCCTCGAGGAGCCAACTAGTTCGGTCCTACAAACCCGTTGTGAGGCAACTCCCACGAGGAGCAACGTCGCTCGATACTATGACTCGCTGCGAGACAACTCCCATGAGGAGACAACTCACTTAGAGCGACCTCAATCCGTGCGCTCGTCCGTCACACATCCAACGCTCCAGCAACCTCACTGCGAGACAACTTCTTCGAGGAAACAACTCGCTTGCAATCAGTGAATAAACAAATTCACTATACAATCACCGCATCATGATAAAACGATTACAACCCTGTGAACACTTAGAGATATTATGGGGATCTATATAGCCTGGGCGAGCTTGATTACTCATATTTCTCTACTTGTTTTAGACGGGTCCGTCATTAAAATGTGGCCACGGTCCTAACATACTTACGACCCATCAGGTCTAACAAGGGGGACGATCCCTATAAAAAAATCTTGAGAGTATGATCCCCTCATCAAGTACATCACGCACAAGACTATATGTAAATACATACAAGCAACGCGTCAAACCATTGACAATGTCTATAAATAAGAACTCCATTGAGAAGATAACTCGCTCTGTCCTAATACATTGTCGCGAGGCAACTCGATCAACTATATTACCCATGACGAGAGAATTCCCGCGAAGGATAACTCGCTCCGTGCTACTACATCATCATGAGACAACTGCGACGACTCAAGTAACTTGCATTGCGACAACTTGGTAGCGCCCCGCGCTACCGTCGCAAGACTCCAGCCGCGCGTCAACGCGCCTTTGCGCCCCTCCGATCCACACTCCAACGCGTTTTCGTGCACCATCAGGTCATAGCCAACGCAAGACCACTACAATTTTTACTCTCGACACAATCTGGAACCCATTTCGACATGCCCCCACATCGACTCGAGAGTGGGGGTTAATGATATGCCTAATTGGGCCAACCCAATGGGCCTATAATTTCTTTACCTACTAGGCCACGAGCCCAATATTGAAGACCACTACCACCGAGGCCCGATCACCTTCGAATAAGGTTTGGGCCCGAAAATCTCAACTAATTAAACTTCAGCCCAATCAATGAGGTATAAATAAAGGTTTTAACTCATTCCTTAAGGTACCTCCATCTCAGCAATGCTACAAAATGTACTCTATGGACTATTTCTACTATCCGCACGTCTGACTTGAGCGTCGGAGGGGTTTCCGCCGGATCAACCCTCGGCTTAGTTTACGTGTTCTATGATCGTAGGTATCTCAAGGTCATCAAGCTTGTGAGCGAGTGATCCACTTTGGTCTTCCAGCTCATCCTACTTCAAGCCTTTAAGGTGATCTAACTCTAGCATCATCAATAATGTTTTTCAAAAAAGAAAAAAAAAAAGAAAAAAAAAGACAACACCTCCATCACTTTAATGCACATCATTTCTTGCCTACACAATTGTTCGTTAGCATCTAGTTTTGTATCCACGAGCGATATGTGACTTGAGCGTTCGAGTATAATCACGAAGGAGATCCCTTAGGCGACGAACATATTTCTTCATTTGATCAACTGGAGCTTGTGTGCAGTAACCCTATCGTATTTCAATTCAATTACTCCCTAGCCCTCGAGCTACCCAACTTGAATAGTTTTGAATCATTTTTGCCCAATTTGTTGGAATGCAAACCTGACCCTTTAGCATCCAAGGTTTTAGCGTACAAACCGCAAATCAATGCTACTCATAGGATGCAAAATGCAATTCACCCGATTTTAAGCTAATTGACAAATTAAGCGTGTTTTGATTTGTTATGATACTACACTTGAGAGGTGTACACAAATCACCCAAATAGTTTTTGATTTGATATGGTATTTTATGGGCAATGCTTAAACTAGGATTGAGACTGAGTTGTTTCGGTTATTTATTGATCTAACAATTGCAACAAGATAAATCGATTTTCTTAAAATTTGAAAATTATTGGCGACCCAACCTTTGTCAACCGAATAGTAAGTTCAAAATGGGTTCGTTGATGGGTATATTCATCCACCTAGTTCACTTAAATTTTTTTCTAAAGTTTGAAATAAAAATATGCATATTTTGCCTAGTGGCACTATACCATCATTATTCATTAATTCAAAATAATGAGCAATAATTTGGCAAAAAAATCCAATTATGGCGGAAGCTTTATGTCATTTTCTTTTTCTTTTTTGGGTTTTAAAAAAATAATTAAAATACTAATAATTTTCATAATTCTTTGTTAACGTTGACCATTTAGAGAATCATGCCCTCCTCCTTCATGACCGAAGAGGAAAGCGTTAGGATAATAGACTGAAAGTCACCCCACTTTTATCTATATAAAATAATTTATATTAATAATTTATTTATAATTTCAGTTATTTATGAGCATTTGCATTTGGGCATCATATGCATTTAATTTATTACTTGCATAGTCGTATATAATACTAGAAATGCGAAAGATCATTTTGAAAACTCGTTTAAAATATTAATAAACTTGTTCGCAATTTAAATGGAATTGGACTAAATAGTGAAATAAATATTGTATGTATCTTGATTACTGCTAACATAAGCAATCTATATAATATATAAACGGAGAATACACAATCAAACTTTTTACATCTTCAATTTAGATCAATATTTTTCAGTTCTTTCATTTTTGGACTTCTTTCCTTAATTTGAATTTATTTTTCATCCATATTTTTTATATTTTCATCCATATTTGATTTTTCATTTATGTTAATTATAAAATAAATTTTAGATTGATATGTAATAAGGAAATTTCGAATTTCCTTTGATTTGGCCAGATCATATCTTTTATTTTTTCTTAAAAAATTGAATATCAACATTTATGTTAATTATATAATAAATGGTTATTTCCTTATTTAAACATATTTGACTTAATTATCATACTCAATACAAGTATAAAACCACATTTCTCGTCCAATACCAAAGTAAAATTGTCCATCCGTTTTTATATTCATCTTCACCTCACTCCGATGCCAGAACCAAGAAATGAAAGAAAAAAAGAAAGTTGGCCGATGATATTTTGTTAGTGTTGTTTTTTCCGTTTTTATTATTACAATTTTTATACAATTTTATTTCAATGATGTTTTATCATTTTTACTTACTTATTTAATTCTATTGCTTTCAAAAGAAACTTTAAATTACCATTCTATTTTATTTCATTTTTTTAATATATCCAATCAAATCTTTATACACATTAATAAGGATTTATATATTATACATATTGTGGGGCCCACCTCATCACACGAATTGTACATTCAGGTTGACTTATTTATTTCAAACTTTAATACGTACAACAAAAAGAGTGTCTACACATGAAAACTGACAGTATAAAAAACTAATAATTGTATAGAGGGATTTGTACAAAAGATGTTTTTTAATGCTGGTTATAGAAACGTATGTACAATTCATGGGGTTAAACAAAAATATAAATTTGGAACTTGAATGTGATTTGTATAAATGATGTTGTACAATGCTGGTTATGGAAACTTATGTGGAGAGTTTTGATAATTGTACTGGATCAAAGTATAGAGATACACCTGCAAAACAATAATACAATTTAATAAGGGATTTATATACTATATCTATTGAGGGGCCCACCCCATCACATGAATTGTACATTCAGGTTGAATTATTTATTTCAAACTTTAATCCGTACAACAAAACCAGTGTCCACACATGAAAATTGACAATATAAAGAAAACACTAATAATTGTGTAGAGGGATTTGTACAAAAGATGTTTTTTTAATCTTGGTTATAGAAACTTATGTACAATTCATGGGGAGAAATAAAAATACAATTTTGGAGGTTGGATGTGATTTGTACAAAAGATGCTCTGCAATGCTGGTTATGGAAACTTATATGGAGAGTTTTGATAATTGTACTGGATCAAAGTATAGAGATACAACTGCAAAACAATAATACAAATTAATAAGGGATTTATATATTATATATAATGTGGGGTCCACCCCATCACACGAATTGTGCATTGAGGTTAAATTATTTATTTCAAACTTTAATACGTACAACAAAAATAGTGTCCACACATGAAAATTGACAATATAAAAAAACTAGTAATTGTATAGAGGGATTTGTACAAAAGATGTTTTTCTAATGTTGGTTATAGAAAATTATGTACAATTCATGGGGATAAATAAAAATACAATTTTGGAACTTGGATGTGATTTGTAAAACAAATGCTATGCAATGCTGGTTATGGAAACTTATGTGGAGTGTTTTGATAATTGTACTGGATCAAAGTATAACGATACAACTGCAAAACAATAATACCAATTAATAAGGGATTAATATATTATATATAATGTGGGGCCCACTCCATCATATAATTGTACATCCAGGTTGAATTATTTATTTCAATCTTTCATAATACGTACAACAAAAACAGTGTCTACACATGAAAATGGACAATAAAAAAAAAACTAATAATTGTGTAGAGGGATTTGTACAAAAGATGTTTTCAATGGAAGGAAGTTATAGAAACTTATGTACACAATTCATGGGGATAAAAAAAAATACAAATTTGGAACTTGGATGTGATTTGTATAAATGAAGCCCTGCAATGCTGGTTACGAAAACTTATGTGGAGAATTTTGATAATTTTACTCCATCAAAGTATAAAGATACAACTGCAAAACAGTAATACAAATTAATAAGGGGTATATATATTATATATAATGTGGGCTCCACCCGATCACATGAATTGTACATTAAGGTTGAATTATTTATTTCAAACATTAATACGTACAACAAAAACAGTGTCCACACATGCAAATTGATAATATATAAAAAAAACTAATAATTGTGTAGAGGGATTTGTACAAAAGATGTTTTTTAATGCTGGTTATAGAAACTTATGTACAATTCATGGGGAGAAATAAAAATACAATTTTGGAAGTTGGATGTGATTTGTATAAAAGATGCTCTGCAATGCTGGTTATGGAAACTTATGTGGAGAGTTTTGATAATTGTACTGGATCAAAGTATAGAGATACATGTGCAAAACAATAATACAAATTAATAACGGATTTATATATAATATATAACGTGGGGCCCACCCCATCAAAGAATTGTACATTTAGGTTGAATTATTCATTTCAAACTTTAATACGTACAATAAAATCAGTGTCCACACATGAAAATTGACAATATAAAAAAAAGCCTTAATAATTGTGTAGAGTGATTTGTACAAAAGATGTTTTTTAATGCTGGTTATCGAAATTTATATACAATTCATGGGGAGAAATAAAAATACAATTTTGGAAGTTGGATGTGATTTGTATAAAAGATGCTCACCAATGCTGGTTATGGAAACTTATGTGGAGACGTTTGATTATTGTATTGGATCAAAGTACAGAGATACAGCTGCAAAACAATAATACAAATTAATAAGGGATTTATATATTATATATAATGTGGGGCCCACCCCATCTTATGAACTGTAATCTCATGTTGAATTAATTATTTTAAACTTTAATACGTTCAACAAAAATTCTGTCCACAAATGAAAATTGATAATATAAAAAAACTAATAATTGTATTGAAGGATTTGTGCAAAAGATGTTTTTTAATGTTTGTCATAGAAACTTATGCACAATTCATGGGGATAAATATAAATACAATTTTGGAACTTGGATGTGATTTGTATAAAAGATGCTCTGCAATGTTGGTTATGGAAACTTATGTGGATAGTTTTTATAATTTTACTCGATCAAAGTATAAAGATACAAGTGCAAAACAATAATACATATTAATAAGGGATTTATATATTATATAATGTGGGGCCCACCCCATC